TCTCGTTTTCGTTCTCGAGTCCTGGTTCTCAATGAAATATGGTTATGTATGCAGGGATTGCAATACATGCACAGAAATAACGTGGCGCATAGGCGAGTATTGGTTCTATCGGGGGTCGGTTTGACTCAACTGTTTCTTCTAGAGACTGTTCAGACAATAACATGGTCATGGATGCTAGAGCAATGTATCCTCGACAATGGCATCCGAGTGTACCCAAGAAGAGGTACGACTGGAGTGGAAGAGTCCTACACCACTCTCGCACTCGTTGTCCGCCGAAATATTATCTCATCGATTTTGGATTTTCTTGCCAGTACGATCCCTCTCAGCCTCGTCCTCTAGAGTCAGCAATCATGTCTGGAGGATATTGTCCACCGGAAGCCGAAGCAGAAACTCCGTGTGATCCCTTTGCCACTGATGTCTTCCTGTTGGGAAATATGATGAACACTTCGTTTCTTGAGGTGAATGTCTATCAGTAGTATCTTTTCTGTCATGTCTTACTCATTAATGTTATATCAGGGCGATGAAGAGTTCAGACGTCCTGGAATTCATGGCTTAGAGTTTTTTAAAGAGCTCGTCGATGACATGATGGCGGATGACCCGACGGAACGTCCGACCATGGATGAAGTTGCTTCTCGATTTTCTGCTATTGTCCAGAAGCAACCCTGGTGGAAGTTGCGGGCTAGGGCGGCTAAGAAAAATGAATTCGTGATCTTGAAGCCTTTTCGAACCCTGCACCATATTTTGTGGACCACTTCGATGATACTTATGTTGAAACCTGCGATTCCTTGCCCAAGACCTTGACACTTTATATTGTTATGTACTTGCGCTATGTTCTGGAGTATATGAACTATCATACTATCAGCTATATTCGCTCGGAATCAAGGCAATTCGTTTTAGCTTTTCTAAATGAACTGGAGACAACTATTTTTCGCGTAGAGTGAATAGCCCCGTTCAATGTTGACGTAGCGACGCTACTGAAACCGCTATGACAAATTGCTATTTCACGGCTCCTTCGGCTCGTATGTCAGGCCATCAATCCAACATCAATCCGCCGAGCTGAGTGCTTGTGACAGCGAATTTATTCTGACCCTTCAAATTCTACAAGCTCAGCTTCGAAAAAATCTTTTTGTGGCTCTTCTCTCCAACCTTCCTTCTCCAACATATAATTCTTATCCAAAATGCATTATTTTATACCATCTTTGAACCGCTGTAATAATTAGAGCCAGATTAGAGCAGTTCATCGCAAGTTCATCCATCACCATTCACCGGCCAGAGGACAGAGGTCACACGTCACTTAGTCTTGATCGAATTTTCTTTTCATCAGTCACAGCCTCTCACAGGTCAAGCTTCACAGGTCACACCATAACGGTCAGTTCTGATTCTCTAAGAGTCAAGACAGCAGGCTAAAAGGGTGGAAAGTGAACAAATCCAGTAACTACTGTTATATTTGGCTAATTTTACTTTTTTTTGTTTGTTCAAAGATCAATTACTTATTAGTTGCCTGTTTTTCCAAGGTTTTCCGAGAATGCCAAGAGAATGCATCTCCTGTAAAAGCGCTCGTAGCGCTTAACTTGACAACTTTGATGTGTTCTCGGCAGAACGATGGCTTGACATACAAGCCGAAGGAGCCGTGAAATAGCAATTTGTCATAGCGGTTTCAGTAGCATCGCTACGTCAACATTGAACGGGCTAATGCTATGGGCCTGTGATCGCGAAACACGTGGTGGCTATGTGAAAATTCATCGCGCGTCAATCGGGCGCTATCCTCCCGCGTTTCGTTCCAACGTCCTCTAAACCAGCTCGGCGTTACTGGCTTTCTGACGACCTGGATTGTAGTATCAACTAATTATAGACTTATCAAATGGTATCCTTTCAGTGAGTTTTTGTGGTCAGTGCAAACTTTTGTCGCTGATAATCCTTCACGTTTGCTTAGATGCCATGGTCAGTAAAATCTTCTCATTCGTATCATTGAACGATCCTGAAATGCTCCTCTTTCCTAAGCCTGCAATGACGTCGTCAAAAAGCCAAAACTAGACCAACATCGGAATCGCTGCCATTCAGGATTTGACTGTATCGACTGCAGCAAAACTTTTAATACCCCAGCCGAGTATAAAAACCATACTTCATGTATAAGTGAAGCAGAAAAGTATGAGAAAACCTTGTACAAGGGTCCTAAAGTTCGTCATTTGCGTACATACTTCTTTTTCTAGCCATATAACCCATACATTGTGTACAGACAGGCCCACAAAATCACTATCCTGCGCAGGCACCGCAGAATCCTCCACAAAATGGAAATAGCTCTTTCCGAGGGTCAAGTCGTGGACGAGGGCGCGGCGGTGGCCAGGGAGGTGGATGGGGCCGTCAGTCGTACAATTCCGCTACAGGAGCGAATGACACGCCTCTAGGTACACCCAGATATTCGCCTTCAGAGCCGGTAGAGAAGTTTGTTCAGCAAACTACGCCTGAAGTCGTCCCCGCGACATCGTCTTCGTCGTCGGATCAGACAACAGAAACTGAATCGAAGAAGAAAGAGAAGAAGCGGAAATCTATAGGTGCAGACGATGCTCAAGTGTGTATATTTCGTTTTTTTTTAAAAATCTGGATTGTTCTTATTTCATTCGGTATAGGATGAGCATCGACCAAACAAAAAGTCCAAGACGGAGGAAGGTGAGTCGACGCCTTCCGAGGACGCGAAGAAGAAGAAGAGATCAAGTGAGGAGAAGGAGGAAAAGAGAAAGCAGAAAGAAGCAAAGAAATTGGCTAAAGCTGCTGCCGCTGCTGAATCAGCATCTGTAGAGGGTAGTGCGGACGTCGGGATGATCGATGTGAAAGAATCGAAAGAGGAGAAGAAAAAGAGACGCAAGTCGAAAGGAGAGGATGGCCCCAAGGAAAATCAGGTGACTGCTGAAGAGGACAAGAAGAAGCGGAAAAAGCAGGAGAAGGAGACAGAGGAGGGCAAGGTGACAGAGACAAAAGAGGAACGAAAGCAGCGGAAGGCGAAGGAGGCGAAGGAGAAGGAATCAAAGGAGGAGAAAAAGCAACGGAAGAAGGACAAGGCAGCACCGGAGGAGAAGGAGCCAACATTGGATACCAGCGAAGAGAAACTGAAGCGGAAAAAGGAGAAAGAGAAGAATAAGGATGTCGCGGGCGAAGAGGCAAAGCTGGGTGACCTGACGGAGAAGAAAAAGGAAAAGAAAAAATCTCGAAAATCCGTCTCTGTTGCCGAATCTTAGTGCTATTGTTCTGTATAGCTTTTGATTACCATATTTCTGTCGTTACCATGATTTGTCGCTCCTCAGCACGTGTATCGATGGCGTTGAGTCGAAATTTAGGAATGTTTGATCTTGACCTTCAACTCTCACTTTCTTCACCATTATGCATGCGATACAGGCAAGCTTTTGCTGAGAATTGTCTAATCCTCAATTAACGTTTTGTTAGCAACACTACTGGAAGTACCGTGACTATCTAAGCCCGGCGAGTCCTAATGTTGACAGTGGCGTCGATAATGTAATAATGTAATCTTGAAATCAGGTTCTCAGAGAGAGTAAATTCAAGGAGCATGGGTGCATTACTCCTGGTGAGCTTGAACGCGCTTTTCTGTTATCTTTTTCTTAATCTTTTCTTCAGAGGAATTCGTTGCTGCGGGCGACTTTCTTGCGTACAAATTTCCTGTCTGGACCTGGTTTGTCCTCCTTATCTGATCCTCTTCTTCGGCTCACCGACATCTTGCTCATCCAGGGAAAAAGGAGATTCCTCAAAAGCCCGAGAGTATCTTCCAGCCGATAAACAATATATAGTCACTCGAGGGGTGCCCTGTCTTCGCCGAGCCACATCTCTTGCCTATACCGACGCGGATGAAGACGCAGAACGATTACTCAATTTCGACGAATCTTCTGGAGGCGGCGATGGAGATGACTGGGTCGAAACACACGCTGGACGCAAGCCGAATTTAGATTCAGCTGCGAATCCCGGAGAGATTGCCGATATTCCTGATGATGGAGTGCACGACGATGACCTTGCGTCTGGTGTTGGGAATATGTCGTTAGGAAATATTCCACCCATGTCTGAAATCCCAGATATCGATGAGATACCGGACATGGAGGAAGAGGATCTCGAAGAAGGAGACGATGCTACAGCTGCGCCCAAGACATTGAATGTTATTGATGCTAGGTGAGCGATATTCTTCATTATCGCCATGAATTACACTCAAAATCACTATCACAGCGAAGTCGAGGTCGCGACTGGAAATCTGCTTCAAGTTCGAACATATGATGTCATGATCACATACGACAAGTACTATCAGACTCCTCGAATCTGGCTTTTAGGTTACGATGAGGTTCGAGAGAGCATCTGTTAACAAAAGCTATATTGCTGACAAGTAATTCTAGAACCGAACTCCCTTGACCCCCTCCCAAATCTTCCAAGACATCTCCGCAGATCATGCTACCAAGACGGTCACCATAGAACCCTTCCCTCATTCCACCTCCCTACAGGCAGCTTCGGTCCATCCATGCAAACACGCGAGCGTGATGAAGAAGGTTATCGAGCGAATGAACAATAGTGTTGTCGCTGAACAGCTTGCGCAGCAAAAGGTACCGAAGGAGAAGAAAAAATGGCCTTTTGGTCGAAAGAGTAGTGGCACTGGGAAGGACGAGAAAGCGGTGGCGGGAGAAGACGATGAAGTAGAGGGTATGAGGGTTGACTTTTACTTAGTCGTGTTCCTCAAGTTTATCGCCTCGATCGTACCTACTATCGAGGTTGACTCGACTACGGCCTTCTGAGCCAGCGAAGAACTTGCGGAATGATTGGACGGAACGTTAATACCCTAGTACATTTGATCTTCAGAAATATTTTCATATGTAGAACAAAGAAAGAACATGCTCAAAGTCATGAAAAAGATGGGAAATCGGAGACCGCCACGAAAGCCGCCATAGTCCAAAGTCGCTACTGCAATGACGAAGGCTGGAAGTAAAAAGAAACGATTCGAGAGTGTCGTGTAACTGCCCCAGAGAGGCTCGAACTCTCGACCTTCCGATGTTCACTTGTGAAACAGTTCTAACAGTCGGACGCTGTAACCAACTCAGCCATGGGGCAGATGTTAAAGTGTCTCACTTAGAGCTTTTCAATAATCCAAATCGCTCAAATGCATTACCGTCAGCATATTTTAGACGGGAATAATTGGCCCTGAAGCTTGAAAGGCTGGGAGCGTCAATCTTGCAACTGCAACAAGAACAGTTTCAAGTTTTTGGGGTCAAGGGGGACAGAGGGTGACGAAGATCGCGTGAGAGTTGGCGCTGAACTTTGTTCCTGTTCTTGCAGCGTTCAACGTCGCGTCGAATCGCCGTCGATGTCTTTCTATCTCCGCAAAGACGGCCCTTGAACCGAGAGAATTCGAGAAGGCCAGGTGAGCTCCCCCGCAGTTGGCATTCTATAAACGTGATTCAAATCCCAGAACCTCCTTCGTTCCGGTGTATCTTCTTCAGCGGTCCGCTATTCGCTATGTAGAGATTTTAACAAGAATATTTTCTAGATTTTTTGAAACCTCCTCGCGGTTGTCAGTCATGGGGCTCCACAAAAGTACTCGTGCTACGTCAGCGGTACAAGCACGGGGAGCTATTTCCCCAGGCTCTAATATTATAAAATCGCTCAAGTTTATACATGCCAGTAATGAACCCCTCATCGCGTTCCAAGATGCGCATGTGGATCACAATTTTGTTTTCTGTCTTGCTGACATTTGTATCTCCCTTTGGGCGAGCTTCGGAAGCTGGCATACCAAACCCATTTGCCGATCCCCTCCCCGCTCGTAAAAGGGACGGTCTTTCAGCCCGCTTCACTAATGAGGTGTCTTTCGACAACTACAGTCTTTCTTTGCAGGGACAAAGGATCTTCCTTCAGTAGGCCCTTGTTCTTTCTGTGTCGGATGTACTCAAAACAGCTGCGTGTAGTTCTGGAGAATTCCACACTTACCGTCTGCCCGTTCCGGACTTGTGGCTCGACGTCCTCGAGAAAGTCAAGGCAGCAGGGCTCAATGGTGTCAGCGTTTACACCCTCATGGCCGCGCTCAATCCTTCAAGAGGTGTAGTTGACTTCAATGACTGGAGGGCATTGCAGCCACTCTACGACGCTGCGAAGGAAGCTGGAATTTGGATCACGTTACGGCCAGGTACGTTCGTGTCCAGCAATATCTAACTTTTACTGATGTGAATGTTCTTTTTTTTCACAGGTCCTGTAAGTCTCGTGTTCTCTTTTATAACTTGACAATGAAATGGCCATAGTACATCAATGCCGAATCGACGGCAGGTGGAATTGCTCACTGGCTCACTTCGGAAGTTGCGGGTGAACTCCGTTCAGCTGCGGCTGACTATACTGCTGCATGGACGCCCTACATCCAAGGTATCATCAACGAAACATCCCCCAATCAGATTACGGAGGGGGGCCCTGTTATTTTACTTCAAGTTGGTGAGAGTCCTGGTTGTGTGAATGACCTCAAACTTTCGTTCTCATGCGTCTTGACAGATAATGAATACAATCAGGCCCAAGGTGCAGGGTATTTCGCCGAGCTGGAATCTGTCTATGACAGTTCAAGCATCGTTATCCCATTAACGTACAACGATCCGGGTGAAGGTGACAATTTCATCAATGGAACAGTGAGTCGTCAGGTTGTCGATCCCAAAAAAAACCATAGATTTTTAACGTTCTCGTTATAGGGTGCTGTTGACTTATATGGGTAAGCATACGAGCGAGTTATATCCTACGACCGAGTAACATCCTCTCGCAGACTGGACAGCTACCCACAAGGGTTTGACTGCTCCAACCCCCAAAACTGGAACCCGATTACTACCAACTATCATACGTACCATGAGTCGGCCAATCCATCCCAGCCATTCTACTTCCCTGGTTTGTTCAGCATTCTCCTTCCTGAACTTCTTCTGACACTTTTCTGTAGAATTCCAAGGTAATGCTGCTTCTGAGGATGCTATATCTTGTCTAATACCGTTGAAGGTGGATCTTTCGATGCATGGGGACCGACTGCACCAGGTATGCATATCACTTCAATCAGCGGCTCCCACTAACATTGATGCTCAAGGTTACCCGCAATGTGAGATTCTCACAGGCCCGGACTTCCAATCAGTGTTCAACCGTCAACTATGGGCCAGCAATGCGAAGCTGACGAACTATTACATGATGTGGGTCCTCCTTTGTGTGATATTCTATTAAAAAAATTAACAAATATATAGTTACGGAGGCACTTCATGGGGTGGTATACCGTTCCCGTAAGATCTTCATTTTTCTCACTGAAAACTCTGTGCTTACGAACCCCTACAGCGGTGTATGTCTTACCATCGACCAAAGGATCTACTTGAAGCTGATGTACACTCTAGGTATACACTTCCTACGATTACGGCGCGACGGTAAGCTAGTTTGGTTCATTATTTCTCAAGTCGAATACTAAGTGCAATCTTGTCTAGATTTCCGAAAATCGAGCGCTAACTAACAAACATGTCGAATTGAAGCTTCAAGGAATATTCCTCCGAAGTTCTCCCGATTTCTACAAGACAAACGTAATCGGAGACTCGTCTACTGGCCTTACAGCTGGTGCGGTCACCAATACCGCAGCTTTTGTCACGCTCCTTCGAAACCCCGACTCGGGCGCAGGCTTCTGGGTCGTCCGACAAGCTTCTTCCACCTCAACGTATGTCTATTAATATCTCGTTATTCAAGCACTGAATAACGATTTTATCACAGTGCAACAACCACATTCAAGTTGAACGTCACCACTGCTGCTGGGACTAAATTACAGATCCCTCTAGTGGCTCCCACTATCACACTATCTGGGCGTGAATCGAAAGTTCTTCTTACAGACTATCCCCTTGGCTCAGGCTCGACCTTACTGTACTCGACTGCCCAGGTCTTCTTCGCCGGCGTTATCGGCGGTAAAGATGTTGTTTTCTTGTATGGTCCGTCTGCACAAGCGCACGAATTTGCGCTCAAATTGTCCGGAGCTACCACCAGGACTTCTTCAATCACATTTACTTCTGGTTCTACTAAAGGTTTAACTGGCAATCAGACTATCATCAGCGTTGCATCTGGCTTTTCAGGAGTGGCTACCATTTCCGAATCTGCCACTCAACTGGTTTTGTTCGCTGACTCCGTCACAGCCGGCACGTTCTTCGCTCCTGTCATTCCTGCAAGCTCTGGCGACTTCAAGAACTACTGGGGTTTGGGTACCAACGAGTCCGTTCTTGTTGGCGGCCCTTACCTTGTGCGTAATGCGAGCATCACTGGTAATGTTCTTGCGCTCAGAGGTGACCTCAATATCACGACTGGCAGCGCTAAGACTTCCCTTGTCATTGTTGCTCCAACTAGCATCACTTCCGTCACTTGGAATGGGGCTAAGATCACCGCAACACCTTCAAAAGGTTCCGTCGTCTTTGATGGAAGTATCCCTGCTGCAGCACACACTGTGACAGTTCCGAAGCTCTCAGGATGGAAGTTCAACAACAGTTTGCCTGAAATCTTGAGCTCATTCGATGACTCCACCTGGACTGTTGCAAATCATACGACGACTAACATTCCTTTCCCAATGGTATATGGCGATGGTAGAATCACCTATGGATGCGACTATGGCTTGTAAGTACTGGGATTCTTGTTTATCGCTCGCAGTGATATTGATGTCAAATGGGACCAGCTGCGAAAACATCGTGTTGTGGAGAGGCCACTTCGAGGGAACTGGCGTCGAAAAGAGCGTGAATCTATCAATTAATGGTGGTGAAGGTTGGTACATATGTATTCGTCCCTGAGCAAGACCTTATTATGACCCTTAGCCTTTGCTGCAAGTGTTTGGCTGAACGACGTTTTCCTGGGCACCTCCTTCGGAAAGTGCGTCAACGTTATCAATCTAACCCTGTTGACTAACTAATGCCTTTCTAGTTCTACCAATGATGCAAATGATATTGCTCAAACTGACCAGAAATTCACTTTCCCCAGTGGTGCGGTAGTTGTTGGTCAAGACAATGTCATCACGGTTGTGCAGGTGTGATAATATGTGTTTCTCATAATTCTTTAACTGAGTGGAACTCGGTAGGATAATATGGGCTTAGATGAGACCTCTGGATGTAAGTCGTGCAGCTGTCCCACTTTCATTTTCGCTCCTGACAGTGTTTTATCTCTCAGCCGATACGGATGCCTCCAAATCTCCTCGTGGTATCACAGGTTTCGCACTCTTCTCTGGCAACTTCACCGAGTGGAAGGTTCAAGGCAAGATTGGCGGCTATCTTGACTATCCCGACAAGGTTCGTGGGGTGCTCAACGAAGGTGGTCTCTTTGGTGAACGTCAGGGATGGCATTTGCCTGGATTTGACACATCCGCTTGGCAATCTCGCGACCTCTCGACGGGTTTGCCTAATTCCGCTGCCGGAGTAGGTTTCTTCGTAACGACGTTCGATCTGAACATCCCAGCGGGGCTTGATGTCCCATTATCATTTACATTTGGAGAACCTCTGGGTCAGCCATACCGGGTTCTATGTGAGCGCTCCGTTCGTCCTTCTGGGTTCATCTAATGTATGTTTCTCACAGTATTTGTGAACGGATGGATGATGGGCAAGCGGGTTGGAAATCTGGGGTAAATGTTCTCTATTTTTCAGCCAGCTTTGTGTTGCTCATGACTTTTGTAGGCCCCAGTTCAAGTTCCCGGTGCATCAAGGTATTCTTGATTACAGCGGAACCAAGTCAGTTTAAATCTCTATTTTCTACAACAAGCTAGCTAAAGGTTTATGATCTCTAGTACTATCGCCGTCGCACTGTGGGCGATGGAGCCAAACGTGACGATATCCCCTCAATTAAGTTTGACCTTGGATGGGGTGTTTACTGGAGGTGTAGGCAACATTGCTACGAATAACCCTGTTTTTTCTCCGGTCGGGAGAGAGTAAGTGACCAGGAAAGCTGGATACCAATACTAAACGAAGAAATATATCTACTTGTATTATAAAAAAACTGGAGGTATAGGCAACATTGCTACGAATAGCCTTCTTCAAGAGGGAAAGAATAAGTGATTAGGAAAGCTTAAACGAAGAAATATATCTAAGTACTTGTAT